ACATGTAGTTTTGATGATGATATACCAATGCAAGCCTGTGAACCATATGGTATTCACAAGACTAAAGATGCTGCAAGAGAGGCAGTATATGAGTGTCCTGATGCCATTGTTAATAATTCTGCTATTTATGAAACATAACTTATGAAACAGTAAAAACTAACAGTGCAATTTAATATACATGTACATGTAGTTTAATACACACGAGCTGTGTGGTACAACAGTATATAATGTTCATGAACTTGTTTGTGATGCACACATTTTGAATCTTAGTTTATTATAGTGTAACTTTTATGATCACAGTAGAGTGTTCTTGTAACTGCTTTCAATGTCCTTTTATCAAATAAATTCTAATGTTTGCAGTGTTTTTATTCTAGTGTTACTATTTAATCAAGTTACAGTAAACAATTGACAATAACTAACAGAAAAATGCTGTATTAAAAAAATGCTAGAAGCTTCTGTCAAGTTGTGTGAAAAACACTAGTCTAGCAAGACTAAAAATATCTCTTTCAATGCTTGCCAGTTGCCACTATACCAAGAGTACCCCTATTATGTACTCTTGACTATACTAATGTTAATTTTCTTTCAAAGATTAGCTCATTCCCTTGTGAAGTTCAGCTACTTTTCTTTAAAATTGTAAAAATACACATGTACAAAATAAAACAACCTCATTAACCTATGATGACAATTATAATAATATTTTCTAATATCTATTTAATTTTGGTTTAGCTTTTTGTTGTGCTTTTTTTCTGGTTTTTGTTTCTCTTTTTCTTCTTGTTTCTGGTTTTTGTTTCTCTTTTTCTTCTTGTTTCTGGTTTTTGTTTCTCTTTTTCTTTTCTTATGGGCTTTCCCTTTTAGTCTCTCTCTTTTGTCCTGATTGTGTCTGTTTTTTTGTAATAAATATTTAAAAAATAAAATAAAATAATAATAATAATAATAATAATAATGATAATAATACATGTATGACAATAATAACGACAACAATGCAAAACAAAAATACAATAGTGAAAAAACAAGATACAGGGTCAAAAATTACTAAAATATTCGAAGACAAAACAGGAATGTATTATACACAATGTATGTACTTTATGCTCCCTAAAATGCAGTGAGAAGAGATTGCCTGTTGGTTTATTATAAGTAAAAACATGCACTGTCACTACTACTGTATGTCCTATTGAAGTTTGTCGATTATTACCAGGTATTGCTATTATGAACCTTTTAATGTACTTGTAACATTGTTGATGTATTTCTAGTTATTAATTCAATCAATTGGACACTAGTTTCGTCCATTACACAACTCAATAACACTCAATATGGTATTCATTATTTCACAACTACTGATATAAATCCTTCAACTGATGTTTACTGGTTAGTGAATGGAGTGATGAAGAGTAACTCAATGTATACTTTAATTGATGCCCTGACATACAACAACACACTGGTGGTATATCCTGATCCACTGGGAGTGTCAGTTAATGTTACCTGTATAGCAATGATGGAGGAGTCAACTAC